AGAAGTTTATACTCAGTGGAATTATTTGGAAGAACACCAATGGAAGCAAAAAGGCATAGAAAAAAAGACACACATAAGTAAAATATCATTTCCACCAACAAATACTGAAACTCTCAATAATTTTTCCATGTTACTATCTAGTACATAAGCTGCAAAGACTTTTAAAAAATGTTTTGTTACTTTTAAAAGCAGCTAGATTGACTTAATTGCTATTCATGTTTTCACCCATCTGAAAGAAATCAGACATGAAAAAAATAGATAATGATGATTATGATTAGCAAAAAAAAAAAAACAAACAAACTTTGATTGATAAGCATTAAGCATGCCTATAGCATCCATAAATATTTTGTGTGATTCTGGTTAAGAGATAAAAGTAGGAAAGGCAGGCTACATGAAGAGATACATCTGTCAAGAATGCCCTTTGGAAAGACACAATTCTATAGACAGTAAGATAATACGAGATTTAATAAAAAGTTACAGATTGTTCAGATGTTAGCAGATTTGCTGGAGAAAAAAAAGTATACAGTTTTAATTTGGCTGCCTTGATTTCTGCACCTGTGGCAGAATACCTACATTAGATCATTCTTCTTACTTATTCCCTTTTTTCATTGCAGTGACATCCATACTATCGTTATATCAATGCTGTAGTCTACCAAGAGCCCTGAAATTCACACATGGAAAAATTACCAGCAGTTCTTATTGAGAATTTCACATGTGCTGGCTTGAGAAGTTCTGGCACTAAGTCAAGGGCTAATATAAGAGCTTGCAATCTTCATCCTTGGGCATCTTGCCATTAGGGAAGCTGTATTGTCCTCTGCCCACCAAACTACCCAAACTAACGTTCCATCTACCTGTTCTCCAAATTATATGCTTATCATATTAGCATACCCATGATCCTGTTAAAGCTGTGCTCAGTAGAGTTATTCCTCCTGAGTAATAACAGTTGTAAACAACTGGAGTCTGTCCATAAATTTTCCTTTTTTCACATCTGGCAGTAGAAGAAAGAAATACTTAATCTACAATTAAGGATTTTTTGTATCTTCCATTTAATGCTGATGGAGAAATCAAATGAAGGAGAAGAAGTCACTCTTTTGATTACAGACTCTAGGCTGATCCGCACAGCAAGACCCAATACATAGTCCAGAGTTCATGACATACAGAAAAAAAGAGGAAAAGGTTCCAAGAGAGTGGGGTGAGGCAAGTCATGTATTCATGGGATTAGAACATAAAACAGCATTATGTGCTTTGCAACAAGATAGCTCCAGATTAAGTAATCACAATAAGTTGCTTGGAGTGAAAAACTGAGATCCAGAAAAACATTATGTAATACCGAAGAGGTCCAAAAAACCTGTTATGGGGAAGAAATATTATAGTCTTGAATCCTGCACTTCCTATCCTAACAAGACCTAGGCTAGGTTCCTGGCTACAGGTTCCTGACTTGATTTGAGAATCTTTGCTTCATGCTTGTGGCTAGCAATCATGATGGTTCAGTACTGTGATATACCAGCTACATCCCTTATATGTTTTAATTAGGTTCCTTGTTAATATTGAATTTGCCCTCATACATCTATCAGCTTCTGAAAATTTCCAGGTTGTGACTTTAAGCAAACATAGATGAGCAGAACAGAGTAAAAATAGTAGCAGCAAAATCTTAGGCTTGGAAGGAGAAGAAAACTCAAGAGAATTTAAGGGGAAAAAATACAGCATTTACAAGATGAATAGTCACAGACTATGATTGTACAAAATATATAAAGAACAAGAAGATCAATAATTCCCAAAGACCTGTGTAATTCTCTTTTCAAAGTTTTAACAGAATGCCAACTGAAATTATCTTATTAAGGACTGAAACTGAACTCGACTCAACTGTCCGTTGCTGTCTGTAGACTATATGTGCATTTCTCATAGAACCTTAATAGAGGTACAACCATTGTAGAGTTTAAGTGGTGGCTTGAAAGTCTGAATCCTGTGCTGGAAGGGAAGGAGAAAGGGAAGGAAAGGGATAGGATGCTATGAAAGCAATTCTCCACAGCTGCTTTGCAATGTTAAAAATGAGTCACAATTATTTTTCATTAAAAAATTGGTCTTTCCCAAACCAGTTTTTCAAGACTCTTAAAGTCCATTCTTAATATCCTGTCTTTTCCTCCATCAACATAACATAACGCAACCTGATTAGCTATATTGTGTTGTGTCATCACATTTATTCTATTGATTGTCTAGAATCATTCAGGGTTTAATTAATTTATTTATTCAATTTGTACACCACCCAACTCTCAGCAACAATCTTGAGAGGGAGGAAAATTAGTGAATAGATTTATTTCCCCTGAATTAAAACCAGATCATATTCATATTCCAATCACATTCTGTTCATTGCATCAGAATCTCTTTTTTTTTCTCAGTTTGACTTGTGGATCATGGTGAATAGTGTAGCAAATTCAGATGATCTAGTCTTGTGATCATATCTAGCAGAATCAGAATTGAGAGGTTCACATATTTTGTCTGTGTTTGGCCCTATGTATAGTATAGACATTCACACATTTGTGCCAAGACTGATTCATACTGATAGAACTACGTAGCCAATAGATTGATAAATTGTTCCATGGCTGATGCTGCTGCCTTCTCCTTATCTTATGGTCTGACACATAAAACCACATTGCTTTAGGACAGGATTCTGATAAATGACCAGCACTGAGGACTGAACAGCTAAAGAACTTTAGAAGTAACTCAGCAAAGACCTTTTTGCTATTCTCCCCATGCTCTGAGTCATCAGGTTCCACCCCAGTGGTGACCTGCAACAGCACTTTGTCTTTTTAGTTATAAACAGAAAATGTTTTAGGTATACACAGTATCTAAAAAGAAATGTGAGTAGTGGAATAAAGAAGCATATAGCCAAAGTAACTGAGAGAAAATCTAATAGACACATTTACAGTCACAAGCTTGGAGAATAACCTAAAGCACCATAAGAAGAAAAAATATAAGCAGTATTACTAGACTTGCTTGCTGCCACTTATTATTTATGTGAAAACCACATAAATTAAATGAGAAAGGAAGAGATTTTTTTTGATAATATATCATATATATTTGGCTAGCAAATGTAGCCTGAACCAACCCAGTCATATCTCTCTCTCTCCTTTTGAAGTAAGATTGAGCTGAGTCCCAGCAATTTTCCTTAATTTTTGTCCATTACATTTTACCCTAACAACCCAAAATACCAGTACAGATGGATATGCATGACCAAACTGACATAAAAATACCGATTTAATAAAAGAACTTTGCTGCTTAAATGTATTTTATTGATTTTTTCTCCTAAGGCTGCTGCTAAATATATTTTGGACTAGGAAAATTTGGGCAAGGTTTCAACTTGATCATGCTAGAAGTAAAAATGTTTTGAGATACCACAATCTATGCCACATAATAAGTGAAAGCAGGATGTATGTTGAAGGATGTGATGTGCTGTTCCTGTCACCTTAGGTTGTGTCAATTCATATTGAATCAAGTCAGGTTGTATCAGCAACATCCCTATCAGTAGTTATTCTTGAGTGCAGTAGGTTTGACTTTAAGTAGATTTAGACAGGAAATATCTCAGCTACAATAAATTTATATAATGAACAGTGCAAATCAACTGTTTCTAAAGTCCCCAGAAAACTTACATTTTTATATCAGGCTTGTTTATATTTCTGCCATGGTATCCTAATACAATCAAGTATACATTCAGATTTTCTAGTTTCAGTATAAACCTATATTAAATAATAGAGCTGTGCATATTTTGAGAGTGATTCTGAAAAGGCACTTCAGAGTAAGATGTACCTCTTAAAGCAGCTGCTACTTCCCCCGCCTTTTCCTTCTTTTCCCTACAGGCTTAAAAAAGACCTGTGGTTTAAGAGTCAACTCATTAAGGCAGCCATGTCTTTAATGCAACTCTTTGAAACAGTCCCATCTTTTTAGTTTCAGAGGGAGGTCTTAAAAATGACACGTGTGCTTTAAAGATATACTGTGCTTGTATCCCTACGCATTTGGTTTCATCTCTTCTGAATCACTTTTTAAGCATACACAGCCCTCTTAAATAACCTGTGTATGGTCATAATAGTTGAGACAGCCATAGATGTTTGGTATGAAGCACCTACATTCAATTTTTTAGAATATTTTCCATTTTATTATTCCTTCTAACTCTGTATTTTAAAATAACACAACAGAAATTTTAACAGTGAATTGAAACACTTGGAATCACCTTCTAATAGGATTGTAAAATTTCATAGAACACTTGAGACTTCTCTTCCCATTGCCAGCCTCTTAAAAAAAGTTTTCTTAACTGGCACCTATAAACCTACTTTATTATAATCTGTAACTCACACATTTATTATGTGACTCATGTGAGATATTCATTCTCTGGCTTTTGCTTTAGCTTTAGCTAATATAGGATTTTCATGGAAGCAAAAAGGACTGAAAGAAATGTAGCTGTTCATCTAAAATTGTGACCATTTAATTAGACGGTTTTTCCTGGGACAGTATTCTGCAGTTTACAGTTGTCCTAGCTAAATGAGAATAGCTGGATGATATACATAGTGTATTTATTTATTGAATAAATTTATTTGGCTGCCCATCTCAAATACATGTTTTCAGAACCTTGTACCTAATTCAAATTTGCTTATGATTCATTTATTAAAAAAAATAGTTTTATGTGCTGTTGTTTTTAAAATCCATATTCTGTTTGAATAATCTGTATTTATACAAGAAACTCCCTATAGATAGAAAAGATTCTTTGGCCAGACTTCACTATCATTACCATCCACTCGAGGTTGAGTCATTTCCACTTGTTCCAACAGAACTTATAAAGTGTTTAGAATCAGGCTGCCTGATATTCACACTGTCAAAGCTCCCAAACATAGTTTGAGATGTTAAGATTAACTGTTCCTTCCCGTCAAGCTGATTATTAATAATGTTGAGCTACAGAACTGAACTGCAGTGAGTAGCCTTATTCTTTCCTCTTTTATTCCCATTTTCAGCTGGTTAACAATCCTCTGGCAAGTCAAGCAGCAGCCGCCGCCGCCGCCGCCGCCATGGGCTCAATAGCCAGCTCACAAGCCTTTGGCAATGCACTCTCCAGTCTTCAGGGGGTCACAGGTCAACTAGTCACTAATGCACAAGGACAGGTGAGTGGGAGATGGATGGAAATAGTGAATTCACATGGCATATTGAGCATTTCCAATGATAACAGTCTGGGACTGTACATATATGAAAGGGGAGATGGATATATAAGAGAAAAAATTAAAGATGTAGAGCACTAAGAGGTTTGAACTGAGACTAAGTCATATTAAAAGTAGATCCTGAAAATCACTGGGACTTAAATCCCTATATTAGTCCTGGACCCAATCCAATATTATTTTTTAAAATAAAGCATAAACATGAACAAATGTTTGGTTTTGGCCTCATTTCTAATTTTTCGCAAAGATATACAGCATATCTTGAGCATTTCTCCTATCAGTTCTTGTTCTATAAAATCATCAATTAACATCACCAGAATCAGCAAGTCTCCTTTATTCCTTTGAAAAGATTGATGCCACAACACAATGTTTAACATATCTTATTGTACTACAATGAATTTTTGTAATGAGCTTTGAGTGATACTCTTGGGAATGATCAAAGCAAAGTTCACAGTTTAAACTTACTATATCTAAATGACATGGCTAGGAGGGATTATCAGGGAAATTTTGGCCCATTGTCATCAATATATGGATGACATCTGCTACTATTTCTCTTGTGCATTTTCTACCATGGAAATTGTTGATGTTCTGAATTGGTATCTGTCAGAACCTGCAGGAAGGGTTGTGTGTGTAATAATTTGAGATTTATTCCAGAGATACTTCTGATCAGGAAGCAGAAGTAGACAGGAATTGAATTTCAACTAATAATATTCCCCTGAAAAAACTGGTCTGGGATGTTTTTAGATTCAGTTTTGCACTCAAAAGCTTAAATGGCAGCTGTAACCAGAAGTTTCTGTGCCCAGCATAAATTAATACAACATGCTCTATGTGGAGCTACCTTTGAAATGTTTTTGGAAACTGCAGTTTTTCCAGAATCCAACACAAAATTGATGGATGGTAGTATGGCAAGTCCATACTACCCTATTCCTGCAAGGGTTCCACTGAACGCTTGCCAGTTTCTTTCCAGGCATAAGTCAAAGTATTAGTGTTGATCCTTAATGATCAAACGTTTCAGGTTTCAAATAATTTTGCATCTGCCTTTATCTTCTCTATGTCCTTATGTATGGCAGAAGTACATTTGGTCGAGTCAAAAGGGCCTTCCCAGTAGCCATGCCTACATTCAAAAACTTCCCACCACAGGAAGCCATATTGGCACCCTCCTTAGTAGTTGTTCACCCCACAGCAGTATTTTTTTTCCCCGAAGACGCTGTTTGCTCTCTTTCCTCTGATTAGGTAATTTGTATTAGATAAATGTTGTAATTGTAAGTGCACGTGTTGTAAATTTGTAATCATTTTAATTGTTGTTAGCTGCCCTGAATGGGAGTGAATCAGGTTCTAAATTTTCCAAGTAAGATAAATACTTCTATCCACATATAGTCATAAAGTATTTTCTCTTTTTTGCTCTGGCTTATTTTACATAGGATTGCAGATATTCACAGTGGAATTGGATTTAACGTGATTACTTCCAAGGAAGCTTACAGAGCGTTTGCCTGTCAAAGATGCTTTGTTTTCATTGAATTCCATTTTGCTATTTTGTATTTGTATATAGCCTTGGTTGTTATCTCACATACATACAGAATCTAGAAAATAATGATGGTGCCACATATTAAAGCAAATGATATATTAATTATATTGCAGATAGCAGTTAATTTGCATTTTTGATACAGAGGATATATTAAACAGATACAAATATATCACTGGTATGCGTGAATGCTGGGTAGCTGAAAATATACTACTCCTTCTCATCACGTGTAGATTACCTGCTTACAAGAAACACATTTAGGTAGTTCAAACAATTTGAGTGAAGTTACTCCTTTCTTTAATAACTCAGCTGATGAATATTGTCAGGACTGGATCATGGAGAAACAAGAGCCAGATTTCAGTATGTTTGGTGAACCTCAAGCTCTTCCCAGTTAACCTCTTATACTGGGAAGAAAAAGCAACCGTATAATGAAGGCAAGACTATAGTATTGTTCTTGAAACCAGTGATTATAAGTGGCTGTTCCCTCAATTCATGACATATAATTGAAAAACCCCAAACTATAAATTCTTCTGTTCCATCTGATGATTCCATTGTTACCATTCTACCTCCCTTAGACAGAAGTGGCATTTATTTTCTTTCACCTCATGCTTCTAAAAAAATATTAAAACCACATTGAAGTTAAATATTTGTTTGAGGCTTTGCTTTATTTAATCATGATTAACATAAAACATGAACAAAGATGCATCTGATGCTTGTGTGCCTTGTGTAAGTCCCCATAAGGAAAAATGCTGACCTTGTTATATTTGCTGGGTGGGTACAGAATTGTTCCATCGCTACCCCGGGGGTTGAACGATGGAGCTTGTCAAAGAGAGGCCTTATCTAATGAATCATCTTATCGCAGGTGCACACCACACATATTAAAGGAGGATTTCATGACCAGCGTGCCCTCTACAATAACCTTTCAGTGTCTACTTTAACCCTTGTTCCAATCCCTTTTCATCACAGGAACATTTTATGCAGCTGGCTTTAAATGGAGGCTCTCAAAAGCCTATTAAGATTTCTGTTAGGGAAAGACTATTGGAATGGAAGAAAAGTTGGTTATAATACCTATAACTCATAGTCAGATCAGTTCCATCTAGAAAGCTTGCTTGTTTATATCTATGCTTTAGAAACAATGCAAAACTCAACTCTCACAGGAGTCACCAGGAGCACAGGATGTAAATTTAAAGGCTCTGCGATAGAAAACCATGACAGTTTGTCAGTTGAAGGGGCTCCCTCCTCCCCTAGCCATTTCAGATTCTCTCAGGAAGGCAAATAATTGGAATGTATTGGTAAATTGTTGGGCAAGCACCTACAGTCTTGTGTGTAATTTCTTAAAAATTATATAATAGATATAATGTATTTATTTTATCCTCTACATTTGGTACTGCCACAGGTTGCAAGAGTTGGTAGGATCCTTCCTTTGCAAAGCTGCAAAGTCCATATAGATGCTGTTTGACAGTCAAGAAATAGCTAATAGGCATATTTAGCAGGGCTGGCAGTGCTTTCAGTTCCAAGATAAAAGGGTCCTTGGAGCATTATATGGCACAGATGTAGCACTTGCATGCAGCATCTAGAAGCAAACATAGCTCTGGAAGGCAGCCCTGGGATTATTGGAAAAAGTGCAGCTGCTTTAAGGTGTTGTAGCCAGGTGCTCCCACATACTCCAAAGCATCTTTGGGGCTTCAGATCCAAAGTTCTGCCCTGCCCTGTTTTGTGTGTGTGTTTGTTTCGTAAGGGAGAACGGTCAATTTTGGCCTCATTTCAGGTTTTGGTTTTTCAATCCTGAAAAAAAGAATATTTTGTTCCATGCTTAATTGAATTTAATTCAAGCTGCAATTGATCCCATACAAGTTACAATGAAAACAAATCCTATAAAACAATAGGCAGTCTTATAAAATGAGAAGGAATTATATGTCTTTTTGGGGTATGAATGGCACATTATGCCTATGGGTTTCAGGAAGAAAGTAGCTGACAAAGAAAAGGAGGGGTTAGAGATGAGTTAGGTAGACATGGTACATAGTCTATAGACTTTATTTTGTCCCAGCTAAAGAGCTGCCCTGTGTCCTAAAGGTGATACAGCTCACAGGGCCTTCAGTTGGCCCTTTGATTATCTTGCAGCCAAGTGAGGTGCAGAGGCTGTCGCTGAAAGACTCTTGCAATTGTCTGTTCCTGTTCCTCTTTCAGGACAGAGTTTGAGATGTTGAATGCAGTGAGTTGTATATCAAAAATCAACCTTGTCGCATGCAAGTGACCTCAAACGGAAAGTCACTCTTTGCTACAGAAATCACATGTTGAATATAAAATACTCATAGGGACTGGCTAGTCATCTCTGCAATGCAGCTGCAGTTGGGGGATCTATAATCACAGGCATGGAAAGCCAAATTCATTTTTCATTATTTACTATCACCTACATCTTTGTATCAAATCTTTTTTAAAACCTCAGGGTGGTTTGTATAAAAGTTTATAAAGTGCTAGTGAGATTCACATCACTAAAAATGTTGGTGGCACAAATCATTCTTCATAGATTTTGAAGGAATCAGTCTAATACATTTAGATAAGAATAACTGAATCTGACCTATTTGGAACCAATTTAGTATTTTAACCAATCCTGAATTATTTCATGACATGGAATACAGTTCCTATTTTTATTAAGTCCCTAGTTCTCTAAAATATGTTATGCTTCCATATTAGATGAATCCCAAATGGTCCAAAAAACAAAAGACATTAATTCCTGGTACTACCAGGTTAATTCCTGGTGGTACCAGGAATTGCTGCTACCAGGAATTCTAATGCTGTCAGACTGCCAAAACTGGTTTCAGAAATGGTTTTTTAGTAGTTGAGTTGGATTGGGTTGGGTTAAGTTTTTTTTTTTTAAGTTCAAAATGAAATCTAATTGCCCTATCAAAGAAAGCCTAATACTAAATCAGTTAGTACTGATGGGTGCTCAGAGATTTCCCAATCCACTTTGAAAGCCCAAAGTAATCAATATGGAGGATATGGGGAAAAAAATTGGATTTTTTTTTCAGTATAATTGGATGAAGTCCACCAATAGGTTGTAGCATTATGGGGGAACAAAATGTGTCAGATCTCATTAAAATTCATCCATATGTCCTGCATGTCTTGGGCTTTATTCTCTTATAAATTGGCATGGAAAAGCACTACAATGTATCCAATGCGTGGATCAGTATTCTGTATATATATCACCAAGTTGGTGGGATGCAGGTAAGAATATGCTGGTTTGCAAAGTAATTTCTAGAATAGCATGAGCATACTTGTGGTATACTGCTCCATATGTTTCAGAACTGATGATACTGTCCTTACTGTCAGCAGAAAGTGCTGCATGTTGCATGGGTATGACTAAGGCTGGTCATTTAGCCTACACTTCATCTATCTTACTAAAAGGGCATTATGTGAGGGTCTCTGT